TTCCTTCCTTTATCCCCCTCCTTCCTCCCCTGTGGTTACTGTCAGTTTTGTGATCATGGTATCTCCCCTGACAGGGAAGTATTAATTTGTTCTTTATTTCCATGTCTCTGGTTATATTTGCTTGCTTGTTTGTTTTGTTGATTAGGTTCCACTTATAGGTGAGATCATATGGTATTTGTCTTTTACCACCTGGCTTATGTCACTTAGCATGATGCTTTCCAGTTCCATCTATGCTGTCATGCAGTGGTTCTTCAAGTGTAGTCCCTGGATCAGCAGCATCAGCATCACAGGCAAGCTTGTTACAGGTGCAGATTCTTCACCCTCTTCTGAGGACCTACTGACTCAGAAACTCAAAGGGTGGGGCCCAGTACTCTGCATTTCATTAAGGCCTTCAGGTGATTCTGATGCATGGTAAAATTTGAGAAGCTCTAGCAGGAGTATATGTGTATATATGCACATAGATATATTTAATATATACACACATACATGCATGCATACGTACATACATATACAGTCGGTTCTGCTATAATGTTATATACAAGTTCCTAAACATCACTGTGCTATGACAAATTGTACAATAAAAGCCATGAAGCTTATGGAAAAAAGGGTTTAGGGACACGATAATCGGAAACTTTATTGGCAACACAAAATGAAATCTAGGTGCCTAATGAAAACAATAGCAAAAATAGCAGTTTTTGCCCATGTTAAGTGGGTAAATATATAAATGCTACAGTGAATGTGGTGCTTTTCCTAGAAAAGACCTGAAGTTTGCTTATGGAAGTGGGCACTGGAGGACTTCCAGCTAGTGAGTTATTGTGCAGTGGATGAAGGAGGGTTATGTGAAATTGGATGGAAAATTTTAACATCAGATGTGGCTTTTAACATACACAGCACATGGAGGTAGCTGGTCCATGTTGGGATGTGCGCATTTTGTGGCTTAGCTCATTTAGGTGCCATTTTCTGCCTTCATCTAGCATTTCTTGTGAAGGAAATGGCACATAAGCAAGTGTGAAATTGGAGTTTTGCCCCAATTTTTTTATATTGTAATTTTATTAAAAATTTAAATCACAGAAACAGCATGTACGAACAATGAGAAAATGGAGAAATGATTTGGTAGGAAAAATAGATGAGCACAGCCAGGAGTGCAGTAGTCTCCATGATCATATCAAGTCCTCTGACCCTTCCTCCCACAGGAAACCAAGCTGTGTCATTAGAGGGTGGAGGGATTGTACTCTGTTTCTGCCCACATGATTTCTCCACTCACAGAAGCCTAGATAAACCTACAGGACCGAGTCCAGAAAAACACTACCAATACCTTGAACCTGCTCTTCAGCCAAAGTAGCCAAAGTGACCCACGACTCAAGGTCTGCCTCCCCTTCATCCTGGATCAAGTCTGGTGTGTTCAAGATACCCACTGTCTTTTAAGTGACTGAGTGTTTAAGGGTATTATGAGAACTATTGCCTTCTTGAATTCTATGTCCTTATTGCCCCAGGCTTTCCACTAATATATCAGCTATGGTGGAATAAATTTGCCTTTTCAGTATGAGCATTATAAGCAGGACTGACTTTATCTACATTCGTTTACACATACCACATATAAATGGGCCCCATACACCACTAAATGCTGGTTTTTTTTCACTTATCTCACTCATCTTCTTCATTTGATAACATCTTTTTGAGCTTTCTCTATAGCAGTGCTTACTACTAAATGGTGTTTAAAGCATTAACAAATGACTAAATTGCTCTCTCCAAAATGCTTGCAATGACTTATATTCCCACCAACATGCTTCCTACACCCTGGACAATATTAGCTATCATCAAATTCATTAATTCTTGCTAACCCAGTCGTTACATTTCTCTTTCTTTTCCCTCCCTCTCATATTTCTTATGTTCATATACATATATATACACACGTATATGTATGGATGTGTGTACACACACATTTACGCTGTGACGAATGCCTCTCATAAATATACTGAGTGAAAAAAGAGCTACTTTAAAATTTAAACAGGTGATGAGGCAGTGCTGAAATGGGGAAGAAGGGACATGAAATAGATATGTAAGAAAACCTGACAAATCCTGGCCCTGGCTGGCATAGCTCAGTGGATTGAGCATGGGCCTGCGAACCAAAGGATCACAGTTCAATTCCCAGTCAGGGCACAAGCCTGGGTTGCTGGCCAGTTCCCAGCAGGGGATGCACAAGAGGCAACCATACATTGATGTTTCTCTCCCTCTCTCCTTCCCTTCCCCTCTAAAGATGAATAAATAAAATCTTTTAATTAAAAAAAGAAAACCTGACAAATCCTATTAAAAGGAGAGAGAAAAAGAATTTTCTTTTCATTTCTTTATTTTTTGACTTCTACCTCTGCTACACACAACTTAATCCACTTCATGAGATAAGATATCAAGTTGGCCCTGTTGGGATTCAGTCTATCACTCTTGCCAGTTGATGCATCCAGAAATGCAGCTTAAACTGTTAATCCATTCACTTCAGCAAAACAGTCCTGAGGCCATCAGATTCTTCTGTTGATCAGTGTTGGGCTCCATGGCCCCAACAAGCTGGGAAGATATAGCCGATCAGGGAGTGTGAGGGCTGCCGCCTGTGAGTGTGGGGCCTCTAACAGCAAAAGCACCAGAAATGGAGACTCACGCAGGTGTCAGATGTTTTCCTGTAAAGAGATTGGCAGTGGACATAAATGCTTCCGGTGGGTACATTACCAAGCAGGAAAGCTAGAATGATTGGGTAATTAAATCGGCGTTGGTTTATGATCATTGTTCCTGTTAGAAATACCATTGTGTTTTGATGATATAATGTGTGAGGTAGAATTTTCGTATAAGCACTGTGGTTTGCATATATGTGTAATATATATATGCACAAACACCGTATTTTGCTGTGTATAATGTGCTCTGTGTGTAATGTGCACCCACGTTTTTTGCACATCATATTTGGGATTATTATACCCATTATTATGCCCATGGTATGTAATCATTATACCCAGGTATAATGTGCATCCTTATTTTTCCCTCAGAACTTTGGGAAAAAAAAGTACACATTATGCATAGCAAAACGTGGGTATATATTTCTAAATCAGAATGAATTACTAAAAGTAATTGCCAACAAGAGGATGGAATATTGATATAAAGATACACAAGATATTAAAGGAAATGTAGAGATTAAGATGATGACTAGGATGTTGTCTTTCAAAGTCAGATGCATTTTCCTTTATGTGAGAACAGCGGGAAGAGAGAGAATGACTCTCTGGAATCATTTCTGTTTTGCAGTTAGATTTTTTCCACCTTGAAACCTCAACCTATGATATTATTAAGAGAATATAAAGAATATATTGTACATATAAATAAATAGAATTAACATTTCATTTCTAAATTAAAAAATTGCTTTCCTGCCCTCATTTCTCACAGTGTCCTGCCATGGAGGGCAGGTAGAAAGAATGTTGATAAAGCCTTTTAACTGATAAAAGCAACTTTCAGTTTCAAGGGGCTTTGCATAGTGGCTCTGGCAAGAACACTGGAGAAGGCGTCTCTCTTTCTCTGTTTTTGTTGCTATTCTTGAGATGACTTGCAAGTGCAGCTCCGAGGATCCACTCAGGGTGTTAAACTTAGTAGTGAGCTGCAATGGCAAAGCAAAACATCTCTCCCACTCATCTCTACCCAGGGCCAGCTACATAATTTGCAGGGTGCAGTGTAAAATAAAAATATGGGGGCCCCTGGTTCAGAAAGCAGGAAAAAATACTATTAAAGGTGCTGAAATATAAAGCTTTATCATGCCTTCTGCAGCCTCTCCTTCTGTAGACTTGTCATTTATTAAAATTTGCCATTTAATACTGTTGTGAGAAAAATTAAAATTTTAAATCTTCAGCATAATTTTACTGTTTATCCTTATATTGTACAAGGCCAGTTATACATGCAAATATAAGAGCTTTTAACTTGGATGTGAAATCACCGAAAGTGTACAGTTTGTATTTTGTAGCTTGTACGTGCGTATATTTTGTTCTTAAATGGAACAGTAGAAATAGTGCACAAAACTAACTCAGCTGTTTTTATTTCACTTCTTAATACACACACATCCTACCAACACTCTCAACCTTTGGCTTACTGATGAGTGAGAAAGGACTGCAAGGAAAAGAAACTATGGCTCACTTCATCTTTCCCTTTTCTTCTCTGTCATTGTTATTGGTGTATGTGGTTGGCTAATGTACAGAAGTAATAGGAGAATGAAGGAGTTTGACAGGGTTCCTTAATCATTCATGTTTCTTAGAATGCCTATCAAAGCCAAATATGGTTCCAATGGAAAGAGCCCTCTGGGGCTGTCAGAACCCCCACCTGCTCGGTCCTAGATGTAATAGGCTTACCCTGTACTTGCTTTGAGTCTTGGTGAACTCACACACAGTATGGGCCTGCAGGAGTTCTGTGCTCCCAGGCAGTAACATGAATGCTTTATGTGAATGAGACATCTAGGAACCCTGGGCACGCAGATCGTGCATGGCTCCTTTGCTCACACACATGCTTCCTTGTCCCGTTGGATGCTCCTTAACAAAATCATATTCAAAGATAAAATTTAGTTTCAAGACAGTGACAGCAGAACATGAAGTCATGGGTCCTTCTGCATAGGAGGCCCTGTGTGATTGCACAGGTTGTATGTCCGTGAAGGTGGCTCTTTCTGTATTAGGGTAAGCTGCTGGATAGCCGGGGGCCTCCTGCACACTCTGTGTATGAAGGACTCCAGTTCATAGCAGGCTGGACACTTCCAGTAGTGTATCCATGCAAAATGATTTCCTTGAAATTTCTGTAATGTACTTATTTTAAATTCAGTTCAACCAATACCATCATAGTGACAGTTGCATCTCTTAGAGGCCCCGACTCCGTGATTACCTTTCATATGGGCCTTTGAAACTTCAACACTAAAGCTGGAACCAAGTACTTAGTATCATCAAATCAATCTCTATATCCCTGACAATTTTGTTTCTTTGTTTCCCTCCCAGGATTTCCAGCAGGAGAGCTCCAGAAGCCTTTCTTTTGGGGAACAGAATATCCTCGGTGAGTACATGAGTAAAGAAAGCAGTTGTTGACAAACAAGGAAGAACGGGCTGCTTTCGCAGACGTACAAATAAAAATCAATGACACCAGCAAAATGAAAACCCAAGCGAGTGGTGGTTCAGCAGAAAGACAGCACAGAACCTGGCATGGGCTGGCGCCACTCTCACCATTTTAGGCATTTGTTTTCTGACTCTTCTTACCAGGGCATATGACTGGACAGAAAAGCCAAGTAGTACACAGGTAGCTTTCATTTTTATGCATTTATTCACTTATGCACTAACTCAAACTGCAAATATTTGGACCTTGAAGGATTGTTGGGATTTGAATTGATAGTGATGGGTGCAAAACTATTCCAGATAGAAGAAACAATGTGAGAAAAGGAAAGAGGTGTGCTTATAGAGCAAAGACTCTAGTTTGGCTAGTCCAAGTGGTATATGAAGGAAAACAGTGGAAAAGAAGCCTGGAAAAGAAGGTTGATGTTTGATACTGGAGGGTTGCGAATGCCAGGTAAGGAACCTGGACATTAAATGGCAATAGAAAATCGTGAAGTTTTTGAGCAAGGAAAGATAATCAAATTTGTCTTTAGAAATATAACCTGGGTAGCTCTACAATAGTTCCAAAATTGACAGTGTCTAGAGCTATGGATATTAGTTTAAAGGCCATTAATAGCAACAGATTGTAGACTTATGTCATTCAGAATTTCTCTCTATATGGCAATTCTGATAATATTCATTGCCAGTAATATCACCACTTGTATTATGTGCCTTTGCTTGCTCTGGTGATTTAATGCACAGAAAATTGTCTTGATTTTAGAAGTTTAGTCTTGTATTTTGGCTTGGATACATGATCATTTAAATTTGATAGAATACGGTTTTGATTTGGGCTTCCTCAGAAAGAGACCTTATGACAAGGATTGAAGCACAAATCCTTGTGCTTTTGGATGGTGACACCAGGGACCACCAGCAGGGGAGAGAGGAAGTGAGGTGAGGGGAGGAAGCCAATAAGTTGTGTCATAGGGGTTTTCTATGGCTGCCATAATGAATTATTACAAACTTAATGGCTTTAAGCAATGTCCCTTTATTAACTTATTGTTCTGTAGGTCAGGAGTCCAACCTGGGTGGCACTGAGCTGAACACAAGGTATCGGCAGGGCTGCATTCCCTTCTGGAAGCTCTGGGGAAGAATCTATTTTTTTGACTTTTCTAGCTTCTAGAAATGGCTCACCTTCCTTGGCTCATGACCCTTTTCCTCCATCTTGAAAATTTGTGGAAGAATTTCTTTGACCATTCATCCATAGTCCCATCTTCTTCTGACTCTCCTCATTTGCCTTCTCCTTCACTTTTAAGCACCCTTGTGATTACATTGGGTATGCCCAGACAATCCAGGATAGTCTCCCTATTTTAAGCTCAGCTGATTAACAACCTTAATTCCCCTTTGTCGTGTAATAATAGATTCATGGGTTCTGGTGGTTAGCATGTGAACATTTTTGGGGTGGCCATTATTCTGCCTGTGACACATCTGTTACAAAGCCAGTTATCACTCTGGACAGTTAGGGCTCAGTCCTGCTGCAGAGGTGTAGAATATGCTTCAGTGTGATCTTATCTTGGGGGCAAGGGAGCTGGGTATTTATCCTACAGCTCACCTTCTGTCATTGATTGGGGGCTTCCACAAGGTGTATTAGCTCCCTGGCATTACCCAGCCTAGACCAAGAGGGTTCTGGAGAAAGTCCTCAAGCAATGATAGATGGCCCCAGACTTCTGATGGTTCAACATATAATTTTTCATCTTTACAATGGTGTTAAACTGATAACACATTCAGTAGAAAATGCACTGGAAATTTTGATTTTTTCCCGAGCTAGGAATACGCTATATGATGCTCTCTTGTGTTGCTGGGCAGCAGCAGTGAGCTGAAGCTCCCCATCAGCTGTGTGATCACGAGGGTAGACAGCCCATAATCTATAGTGTGTTCATCCTGTGAGATGATCTTGTACAACCGTAGACTAATGGAAGTGTTCTGAGCATGGTTAAAGTAGGCTAAGCTAAACCATGGTGTTCAATATGTTAGGTGTATTAAATGCATTTTCAACTTACAATATGTTCAACTTATGATGGGTTTATCGGGATGTAACCCCATTGTAAATGGAGGAACATCTGTAGTTTCAGGTGCTGGCAGTTGGAAGCTGTTAGATTGGTGCGTCTGATCTGGATGGATAGCATTCAGAACCAGTTACTGCTTATCCTTTCTGCTTCCACTGGTCAGCCTAGCCCTCCCCTGAGTGTTGGGTCTAATTATGGGTAAATTGGTAAGCTGAATTGTCAGAGGAGAGAATCGGGATTTTAATTGGCCTAAGACAACATATCGCAAAGTGTGTGTTCCATGAAGTAGTAAGAGAGGTAAGTCATCTCTCCTTCCCTTTGTTTGGAGAATCAAATACTTACCAGCATAAAAATGCCTAAGAAGCTCTCTAAGAAAGAAATTTATTTAAATGTATTTAACCCAGAGGTTACTAAAATCCCTCTTTCTCTATGTTTTAAGAAATGCCACTCTAGAACTCATGAGTAAAGAAAAAGAGTTGAAAGAACTTGAGCCTTATAACTTCATAGTTTTTTGAAAGAAAATGTGGCAGAATGATTTACTATATTCGAGGGGGGTTGCGAGGGTGTTCAGCTAGAGACTACATTAGACCAATGGATAGAAAAAATAGGGGAGAGGTTTCAGGTTAACATTAGGGAGATCTGTTTTATTTAGAGCCACTTGAAGAGAGAATGGGCCACCCGAGAAGGGGGATGACCTCCTGGTTATTGAAAATGCCAAAGGAGAAGTCTGAGGACCATTTGAGTGGGTGTCTGTAGAGGGGGCCTATGCCTGAGTTAAAGAGTAGAACTAAATGACCTTAAAGATGCTTCCGAAGCTGACATTTTTGTTAATTTACATTTCAGGCATAGCATAGCCTTGACTTGATGACTGCTTGACATCAGGGTTGCTCCAGGCAGCACTGCAGTTGATTTCCTGTTGACAGCAAACCCTGTGTATTTGTTACATTGGGTAGAAAGAACAACAGAGAAACTGAGTGGGTGGGAAAATTGTCATCTTTGCCCTTTTAGTTTTGGAAGGCTAGATTTTCTCTTCAGGAGTCTTCTTATTGTGGCCAGCCAGTCACATTTTAAAAGGCATGAAGCTTATTTATTTTTACAACATGCTAATTTAAATAATGTTCGTTGATAAAATAGAAGATGTGAATTTAGGATCTTGAAACGTTATCATTGTAAAGCTTAGCCATATAAAATTACTCCTTTGTCTCCTGTCCAAAAGATTTTAATTATGTGCCTGAGAATTGGGACTTACAATGATTCGATCATTTTCTGAATTCTCTATAACCCTTTGCAAACAGGAAGCTCATTGGAGCAGTCCCTCTTAAGGGACATTTACAGCAGAACAGTCGTTAGAAACTTCCATTGTCCATTTCTTTTTTTTTTTTTTTAGTTATTTACTTTTTTAAAAAATTTTTATTGATTTTGCCATTACAGTTGTTCTATTCCCCCCTTCATTCCCCTCTACCCTGCACCCCCCCACCCCTGCCATTATCCCCCCTTTAGTTTATGACCATGTGTCTCAAGTTCTTTAGATTCTACATTTCCCATACTATTCTTGCCCCCCCCATCTATTTTCTATCTACCGTCTATGCTACTTATTTTCTGTACCTTCTTCCCCCTTCTCCTCCTCCCACTCCCCTATTGCTAACCCTCCATGAGATCTTCATTTCTATGGTTCTGCTCCTAATCTAGCTGTCCTTTTAGCTTGCTTTTGTTTTAGATGTGGTTGTTAATAACTGTGAGTTTGCTGTCCTTTCACTGTTCATCTTTTTTACCTTCTTTTTCTTAGATAAGTCCCTTTAACATTTCATATACTAAGGGCTTGGTGATGATGAACTCCTTGAATTTGATCTTATCTGAGAGCTTGTTTGGAGGTTCTAGCAGGGGAGTGCAGCTACTCGTATACCCTTGACTGAAGACCGGTCCTCTCCTCTAGTTGATCTTATCTGAGAAGCACTTTATCTGCCCTTCCATTCTAAATAAAAGCTTTGCTGGATAGAGCAATCTTGGATGTAGGTCTTTGGTTTTCATGACTTGGAATACTTCTTTCCAGCCCCTTCTTGCCTGGAAGGTCTCTTTTGAGAAATCAGCTGACAGTCTGATGGGAACTCCTTTGTAGGTGACTGTCCCCTTAGCTCTTGCTGCTTCTAGAATTATCTCCTTCATTTTAATCTTGGCTAATGTAATGATGATGTGCCTTGGTGTGTTCCTTCTTGGGTCCAACTTCTTTGGGACTCTCTGAGCTTCCTGGACTTCCTGGAAGTCTATTTCCTTTGCCAGATTGGGGAAATTCTCCTTTATTATTTGTTCAAATAAGTTTTCCACTGGTGGCTGTGCCTTTCCCCCTTCTGGTACCCCTATAATTCGGATGTTGGAGCATTTAAAGATGTCCTGGAGGTTCCTAAACCTCTCCTCATTTTTTTTGAATTCTTGTTTCTTTATTCTTTTCTGGTTGGTCATTTTTTTCCTCCTTCTGGTCCACTCCTTTGATTTGAGTCCCAGTTTCCTTTCCATTACTATTGGTTTCCTGTGCATTTCCCTTCATTTCAATTAGTTTAGCCTTCATATGTTCCTGTAATTTGTGACTAAAATCAAGCAGTTCTATGAGGATCCTAATCATCAGTGTTTTGAACTGTGCATCTGAAAGTTTTGCTATTTCTTCGTCACTTAGATTTATGGGCTCTGGGGCTTTGAGATCTTCTTGAGCCATTTTTGGTCTGTTCAGGCCCATTAAGTATGAGGAGCGGAGCCTTAGGGGCGGGGCCTCCAGGGCAGGGTCGCTGGGTTGTGACCTGTATGTGGGGGCGGGGTCAGAGCGGGGGAAATGGTGGCCCTCTCTGTCACCTCCTGTTGTTGGGACCCACTGTGTCCCGTCTCACTGCCCACTCTCACGCTGGTCTATCTGCGCAGGAATGCGCCAGCACAGTCAACCTGCCGCCCTTCACCCTCTCGGGGTCTGCCAGTCGCTCACTGGGTCTGCCCTTTGCAACCCCACACCTGGGATCTGCGTGCCTGAGTCCGTCTGACCGAGTTTTCCTGTGCAACCCTGCTCCGCCAGCTGCTGGTTTCACCCCTCTTACCGGTCAGGCTGAAGCATTCGTTGTTATCAGACTTCTGAAAAGTTCAATTTTCTGTGTTCTGGCTGTGTTTTCTGTTGCTAATATTTTGTTGTCTCTAAACTTGGTTGTGTGAGAAAGCACGGTGTCTCCATCTATGCCTCCATCTTGGCGGAAGTACTCCCATTGTTCATTTCTTAAATCCATCCTGTCAACAGCATTGACCAAGGCTTGTAGAGGTTTTAATATGATTCTCAGGGCTGACAGGTCTAGAAAAACGAAATGTTACAGGCTGCACAGTGATAGCTACTGCTGCAAAAATTAGCAGTATGTAAAATTACAAGTTTGTCCCACACTGCTATGATAGCTCTGATTGAAATGCATAATTTTACTCTTACTTCTTTAATGAAGGTTTGCAATGATGGAAAAACAGTAGGAAGCATTTTTTTCAAATGCAAATTACCTTGCAGGAAAGAAATAACAAAGGAAAGAATTTCCACCAAGGGGAAAAATTAAATCTTACAGCACTTCCTTGGGTATAGTTGAGACAAACAATTAGCACGTTAAGGATCATTATGTCCCATAATAACTGTTGCTTCAAAAACTGTTGTTCCTTCCACTTATGGGTCCTACCTATTTGCTGGGTTACTTTGATGTTGCATGTCAGGAAGCAACTGTGAAATATTTTTAGCATAATTGCAAATCTCAGGAAGTATCCTCATAACAAGAACTTTAAGTCATTTATAATCCTCATCCACACATTAACATGTAACATATTTTAAAGTTACATGTCAATCTGTCACTTGCATGAAATAATAAAGTAAATCAATTAGTTAAATCGTTGTTACTTTCTCACTGTGTACAAGGTACAGAGAATTTAGCAGCAGTCAGGTAGATAAGGGTTTGACCTTCATGGAACTTAAAGCTGAGACAGAAGATCCCAGACACATTTATGGAAGCCCCCTTATTGCTTTCTTCACATATCATTAATATGCCTCTGTTTCAGTTATCTATTTCTACACAAGAAAAGACCACTGAGCAACCACTATTGTCACATGCTTCTGCAATTTGGGCAAGACTCTGCTGAGGCAGTTGTCTCTGCTCTATCTGGTGTTTGTTGGCTAGGGCAACTTAAGTGGGACCAGAGGATCTAAGATGGCTTTGCTCATATGTCTAGTGTCCCAGATGGACTGTCTTGGAATGGATTGGGCCTGGTTGGGTGCCCTTCTTAAGAGTTTGTTTATTTATTTTTAGAGAGAAGGGAAAGGAGGGAGAAAGAGAGGGAGAGAAACATTGATGTGAGAGAGAAACATGGATTTGTTGCCTCTCGTACATGTCCTGATCTGGGACTGAACCTGCCACCCAGGCATGTGCCCTGACCAGAATCCAACCAGCAGCCTTTCAGTTTGTAGCATGATACACAACAAACTGAGCTACACAGGTTGGGGCTGGGCTTCTCTTACTTTAAAAGAAATCTCTTGGCTTTTGGTGTCTTGCTTGCTTCATTAGGCCTTTGTGTCTCCATAGGATTAGTTCAACTTCTTTACATTAAAGTTGACTTCCGGGGGGGGGGGGCGCAAAATTTGAGGCTACAAGTTCTGTCAAGGGCTATCCCCAGAAGCCACATTCAGCCCCTTCTGTTGCATTCTGTTGGCCATAGCAAGTCCTGAAAGGAAAAAGAAATCCAGATTCAAGGGAAAGGAAATACAGGGTCCTGCACAAATAATGCCCCTTTTTATAATAAAATCTTTTATTACAAAAGTCATAAGCATGTAATTCTACAACATAACAATATTACACTCAATTACACCACATGACATTTTAGGTGAAATGTTCAAATTGCTGTCCGTCTCATGTGAGACATTCACGTACCCTACGGACCACACTCAAGCAGGCCTTACTTCTACCAGACCCTGTAGATTGCTTCATGATGGGGCTGGCAATGCATTCTGGGTGTTTGGAATTGTCAGTAGTCACCCTTGTTGATAATCTACCGCATGCATCTTCAGAGGTGAAGAGAAATGATAAAAATGTCTTTCCCAAATCTGGTTAAGGCTTCACAGTCTTTGCCATTCAGTCGTGAGCTTGTCTGTCACAGAAGTGGAGGAATGTGACTCCTTTTGACAGCAGAGTGATCCCTTTTAATCTCTGCTCTATTCCTTTTGTATGACTACATTTGGAAAACAATTTAACTTTTGTGTCTATAGTGATTTTTCAACAGGTTCTCAGATAAAAAAATAAATGGTATGTTTACCGACAGGGTCTTTTTAAACCCTGCCACTGCTTTGGGTGTTTATAAATATAAACTACAGATGGAGCTGATGGAGAATCATAGAAACCTTAGAGCTGGAAGGGACTTGAGAAACCCTTTTACGGGGCAGGATAAATAAGGCCCACACATGGTCATAATGACAATGCTAGAATTTATATTTCCTTTGTCCATTTCTACAAGAAGTTTCAATTTTTTGTAGTTTTGTGGTTGTTAGATTAGTTCCATGGTTACTAGAGAACAGATTATCTTGGCTTGTCATAGAAAACAAATGAAAGGATTATGCTCTGAGATTCATGCTTATAATTTTCTCCAAATTATATATTTATGTTGTAGATCTCTGAGTTATGGTGCTATAGGAGTAATTGTTGGACACGAATTTACACATGGGTTTGATAATAATGGTAAGTACTGATTCACTGGATAAACTGCTGCTTTTAGGATAATGTTAACTATATGGATGCTAATTCCTGCTATTATTTTTACACAGTGACATCATCATAGATTGAAGATTATCCAATGCAGTATGATTGCTGATTGAAAACTTTTCCACATGTCTTGCAGTGATAGCTTTCAATAAATACATCATTGTTCCCACTAGTGATAAAATTGGATGATGAAAAAAATGACCTTGTAATTTCAGTGACGAGAGCTTTGCATTTAGATTTGAATTGCTGTAGCTGCCACAATAATTATAGGAATTACTGCATAGCTTCCTCCCTTTGTCATTTTTTTTAAACTTTTTTATTGATTATGCCATTACATTTGTTCTATTCCCCCTCTCCATTCCCCTCCACCCTGCATACCCCTCCCCCACCATTTCCCCCTTTAGTTCATGAACACATGTCTCAAATTCTTTAGATTCTGTATTTCCCCTACTATTCTTACCCTCCTCCTATCTATTTTCTATCTACTGTCTATGCTACTTATTTTCTGTACCTTCTTCCCCCTTCTCCTCCTCCCACTCCCCTGTTGCTAACCCTCCATGTGATCTTCATTTCTATGGTTCTGCTCCTGATCTAGCTGTCCTCTTAGTTTGCTTTTGTTTTAGGTATGGTTGTTACTAACTGTGAGTTTGCTGTCCTTTCACTGTTCATCTTTTTTATCTTCTTTTTCTTAGGTAAGTCCCTTTAACATTTCATATAATAAGGGCTTGGTGATGATGAACTCCTTGAATTTGGTCTTATCTGAGAAGCACTTTATCTGTCCTTCCATTCTAAATGAAAACTTTGCTGGGTAGAGCAATCTTGGTTGTAGGTCTTTGGTTTTCATGACTTGGAATACCTCTTTCCAGCCCCTTCTTGCCTGTAAGGTCTCTTTTGAGAAATCAGCTGACAGTCTGATGGGAACTCCTTTGTAGGTGACTGTCCCCTTAGCTCTTGCTGCTTCTAGGATCCTCTCCTTCATTTTAATCTTGGCTAATGTAATGATGATGTGTCTTGGTGTGTTTCTTCTTGGGTCCAACTTCTTTGGGACTCTCTGAGCTTCCTGGATTTCCTGGAAGTCTATTTCCTCTGCCAGAATGGGGAAGTTCTCTTTTATTATTTGTTCAAATAAGGTTTCCACTCATGACTTACCCTTCTGGTACCCCTATAATTCGAATGTTGGAACTTTGTTCCTAAGCTTCTCCTCATTTTTCTGAATTCTTATTTCTTCATTCTTTTCTGTTCGATCATTTTTTTCTTCCTTCTGGTCTACTCCCTTGATTTGAGTCCCAATCTCCTTTCCATCACTATTGGTTTCCTTTGTATTACCATTCATTTCAATTAGTTTAGCTTCCATATGTTTCTCTAATTTGTGACTAAAATCAACCAGTTCTGTAAGGATCCTGATAACCAGTGTTTTGAACTGTGCATCTGAAAGACTGGCTATTTCTTCATCGCTTAGATCTATCGGTTCTGGGGCTCTGAGTTGTCCTAGAGCCATTTTTGGTCTATTCGCGCAGTTAAGTAAGCTGAGGAAGCCTTAGTTGTTTACCAGGACGGGGCGACCCAGGTCGCTGGTTTGTGACGCTGTGTGTGGGGGCGGGGTCAGAGAGGGAGCAATGGCCGTCCTCTCTGCCAGCCCAGTCCGTCCAGTCACACCACTCGCCCCGGGCCTGTTTATCCGATCGAAATTGTGCGAGCCTGCTGCCCCCGAGCAGGCTCCCCTCCTCACTGGTTTATCTGCACGCAGATGCGCGACCGACCACAGACAGCCCGCCGCGCCTCTTCCCTGTGCGCTCCTGTAGCTAGCCCGCAATCTGCGCCTTCGGCCGCTTGCGCACCACCCGTTCGGGGATTTTTTCTTGCCAACCTGCTCCGCTGCTGGCTTCGCTCCTCTTACTGGTTTAGCTGAGCATTTCGTTGTCTTCAGACTCCGTATTGTCGATTTTCTGTGTGGCTTGGTTGTGTTTATTATTGTTAAAAATAGTTGTTCTTAGATTCTGAGCATTGTGCACAGAGGCAAGGTGGTTCCACCTACACCTCCATCTTGGCGGAAGTCTCTCTCCCTTTGTCATTTATTCACCATCTTGAGATGCTCTCCCTGAAGGTGTGAGCTCTGCTCTGAGGAGGATGGTACATGCTGCTGAATGAGGACTCAGTGAGTTAAGGATCTGGAGCTTAGCTGACTGGTTCCTTCATACTATTTCAAGGATTATGCAATGCTTAATCTCTGTTTTTCTCTATGCTAAGATTCAGATTTTTACAAAGGCTTCACTTGCCTAATACTGCATAATATAGATCATGCTCTGTACCCTGATGACATTTAAGCAAAAGGAAAGAGCAGAATATGGCATAAACAAAAGAAATGATCAGTCTTTGAGCATTATCATCGTTTTAAATGAATACCCCTTTTTCCCTGAACTTTGGAATATTCTTGGAAAGCCATGTGAAATCTCTAAAACTTGTCCATTAGGAGCACATCATGATCTCATCTATAACTACACAGAGATTACACAAGGACTCAAGACCCCAGCTGGCCCAAGGCAATATTTAATAGAGGGGCCTCTTTCTTCCATGTCTGTGGTATCTCTATCTTTCCTGGATGCCAGAGACCCTTCTGGTTCTTCTCCTTCTGGACAATTCTTCCAGTGCTCACACTAGCCAGCCTTTCCTTAATCACACAGGTTTGGTGCTCACCTGCTCTCCCCTCCCTATTGAAATATAGCTACCTTGTAGTCATCTGAATCCCCAGAGCTACGCCTTCTGTATTTGCATGCTTGGTTTATCCGAGAAGATAATCTTAGCTAAGGAACAAAAGCCAGTAGTGGTCTCTTGGTTCCGGGCCTTTCTTCCCAGGAAATTTAAGTACAGTTCTCCTTCAGTCTCCTGGAAGCCTTCAGGATTGTCTCTCAAAGGACAAAACCTAATGATGGCAATTTCCCTCTGTAATCATACTTAAAACAGTGCAGTGCACATAAAAGGATATGCCCAATAACTACTTCATAATTGGTTGGTTAGTGGGTGGAGGACAGTGAGCCTGTGCTCTCCCAGGAGGGTGGTAGTGGCATCCAGCCTATTGAACAGCTTTTGCTCCATTTAACGCCTTTGCTTAGGGAACTTTCTTATATGCCCAGCAAAGAGTTCTCTGCACAATTAAATTTAAACCATTAGTAACCTTTAGTGAGTATAGAAGATAGTTCAGATCTACCCAAACATTTTTTGAAGGGTATAGAGAAAGTGAAGAGTGAGCCTGTAGCAAAAAAAAAAAAAAAAAAAAGCATGTATTAACTACCATTTTTTGCTGTGTATAATGTGCACTTTTTGGCCCAAATTTTTTGAGGGAAAAATAAGGATGTACATTATACATGGGTATAATGATTACATACCATGGGTATAACAATCCCATGTATAATATGCACAGAAATGTGGGTGCACATTATATACAGCAAAATATGGTAATCTTTTTTTTTCAGTTATGTTCTGGAGATTTCCATTCTTGTTCCAAGTTCTCTTTTTAGAGCAACCTTCCTTGTCAAAGCAGGACAGATGGCCCTTCCATCCACACTGATGGCTGTGGAATGATTCATAACACAGGTTTTATGTGTCTCTCAGTTCCTGGCAACTTGGGAAACACGTTCCTATCGGGTTGAGTCAGGAGCTGTCGTTGTAGGGTGTGAGTGATTCACTGGGGCTGTTCCTATGGATCATTTGGAATTTCACTGGTAGTGGTGCTCCAGCTCCCTCCATGGGCTTTCTGAATGAAGCCATTTCATTTCATAACCCAGAGAACATTCCGGGTCAGATCAAGTGAAAATAAAGAATGCAAGCTTAGTTAAGAATGGTGCATACCAGAAATGGATGAACCTTATTATTAACATGCTCTTTGTTGCTTAGAAGGAAAGAACTTTCGCAAACCTGTTTCTCCTTTTCCCTCTTCTTACAATTGACCTGTGATGCTGGAGAGAAGGTGGGAGTTGCTGCCAAGAGCAGCCCCTGTTGCTGGGACTGCTTTTTCATGGCGTATCAAAGTGGTAGATAGGGAAGATGAAGAAATTAATTTCTGTAAATAACACAAATACCTTTTAACTTTTTTCTTGTTAGGTAGAAAATATGATAAAAATGGAAACCTGGATCCTTGGTGGTCTCTTGACTCAGAAGAAAAGTTTAAGGAAAAAACAAAGTGCATGGTAAACCAGTATAGCAACTATTACTGGAAGAAAGCTGGCCTACATGTGAGTATAACTGCAGTGAAGACGGCATGTCGTGGGTCCTTTTCCTCATTTAGACATTAACTTGCTTTCTGGGGACATTCAACCTTTTGGCGTCTCTGGGCCACACTGGAAGAAGAAGAGTTGTCTTGGGCTGCACATTCAATACAGAAACACTAACAAAAACTGAGGACCAAAAAAAAAAAAAAAAAGGCTTTAAGTAAATTTACAATTCTGAGTTGGGCTACATTCACAGCCATCCAGAGCCGAGGTTGCACAGCCCTGCACCATTTGGTTCCCAGGCCACCACCAGCTCAGTCCCCCTCGGGAATTTGTTAGGAATGCAAATTCTTTTTTTCCCCCCAATGCACTCACATTTGGGTAGGAAGATTGTGTCAAGATGTGCTGTGTTTTGGGGAGTAGTTGAAGTCCAAGTCTACAGTGGTTCAAGGGCCTTTCAGTATTAAATGAAAGAGGCATGGATTTATATTGCAGTCATTTGGTAGCCACAGGATGGCAAGGGACAAATTCTACCTTTTGGTCCTGAACAAGACAGCTGGTCACCCAGAGTTTGTTTGTTTGTTTGTTCCTTTGTTTTGGATACTGAAACAGAACAGCAGCCTAATAAATACTCTTACCCACCTCTTGTAATGACCAGATGAATTTATGTGGGTTTTCACCATATATTGTGCAAACATTTCCATGGAAAACATCCAGGGTGTGCCCTCACCCTAACCAATACTCACAATGATCAAGAACCCAGCTAAACTGTTCTTTCAACTGGGAGAGAAGGCAGCTGCTGCTAAGAGAATCAGTAGCTTTCTTTTTTCCCTTAAAATTTTTAAATTCAGCGTATTTAAACTAAAAACAAAACAAAACCCAGTTCATTTATTTCCCCTACCTCCACCCTCTGTCTGTGGCAACCACTAATCTGTTCTCCTTATTTACAAATTCAGTTTCATTTTTTTATATTCTACATATAAGTGAGATTATATGCTATTTATCTTTCTCCGTATGACTTTCATGTAGCATAATACCCTCTAGGTCCATCCACGTTGTTGTAAATGTCCAGATTTCATTCTTTTTTAATGGTTGAGCAGTATTCCATCGTGTGTATATCACATCTTACTTATTCATTCATGCATCATCAGTGGATACTTAGGTTGTTTCTATATCTTGGCTATTGTAAATAATGCTGCAGTGAATGTGGGATAAAGATATCTTTTTGAATTAGTGTTTTCATGTACACTCCCAGAAATGGAATTGTTTTTAATTCTGGGGTGGCAGGAACCTTCATACCACTTCCTATAGTAGTTACATGAATTTACATTCCCACCAGAAGTACACAAGGCCTAACACTTGTTAATTCTTGTCTTCTTTCTAATAGCAGTCTCATGGGTATGAGGTGCTAGCTCATTGTGCTTTTGATTTGCATTTCCCTGATGATTAATGATGTTCAGCATCTTTTCATGTACCTGTTGCCCATCTATATGTCTTCTTTGGAAAAATGTTCAGCTCCTCTGCCCATTAAAAAAAAAAAGAATTGTGTGGCCCTGGCTGTTGAGCTCAGTGGATTGAGTGCAGGCTGCGAACCAAAGGGTTGTGGTTTGATTCCCAGTCAGGGCACATGCCTGGGTTGTAGGCCAGGTGCCCAGTGAGGGCCATATGAGAGGCAACCACACATTGATGTTTCTCCTCCTCTCTTTCTCCTTCCCTTCCCCTCTCTCTAAAAAAAAAAGAAAAGAAAAGAAAGAAAGAAAATATTTAAAAAATTGAATTGTGTGGTTTTTGCTATTGAGTTGTATGAGTTCTTTGTATATTTTGGATATTAGCCCCTTATCTGGTATATGATTTACAGTTATTTTCTTCCATTGAGTAGATTTCCCTTTTTTTAAATTTATGATTTCCTTTGCCATGCAGAAGCTTTTTAGTTCCCTGGAGATCCACTTGTTCACTTTTGCTTTTGTTCTTTTGCTTTTGCTGTCAGATTAAAAAAAAATCATTGCCAATACCTGTGTCAAGGGGCTTACTGCTTTTTAAATTCTAGGAGTTTTATGGGTCTTATATTCTAGGGTCTTATATTCAAATCTTTAACCCATTTTGAGTTCATTTTTGTTTGTGGTGTAAGGTGGTGGTCCAGGTTCATTCTTTTGCATGTGGCTGTCCAATTTTCCCAATTGAAGAGACTGTATTTTCCACATTGTATATTCTTGGCTCCATTATCATAAATGATTTGACCATGTATGCATGGGTTTATGTCTGGACTCTATTCTGTTCCATTGATCTACTACTTTAGTTACTATAGCTTTAGAATAGAGTTTGAAATCAGGGAGTTTGATGCCTCCAGCTTTGTTCTTCTTTCTCAAGATGGTTTTGGCTAGTTGGGGTTCTTTGTGTCCTATACAAATTTTATGATTGTTCTATATCTGTAAACAATAGCATTGGAATTTTGATAGGGATTGCATTGAATCTGTACTTTTGCTTTGGATAGTACGGACATTTTAACAGTATTAATTCTTCTAATCCATGAGCATGTATCCATTAATTTGTATCTTCTTCAGTTTCTCTCATGCATGTCTTGCAGTTTTCAATATATAGTCTTTCACCTTCCTGTTTGAATTTATTCCTAGGTCTTTCATTCTTTTTGATGCAATTGTAAATGGGATTATTTTCTTAATATATTCTGATATTATTGATATAAAGAAACTCAACAGATTTTTTTTTTTTGGATTCTGTATGCTGCAACTTTACTGAACTTGTTTACTAGGGTTTTTTTTTTTTTGGATGGGATCTTTAGGGTTTTCATATATATATATGTATATATATATATTTTTTCATATATCATATCATGTCATCTGCAAATAGTGACAGTTTCACTTCTTCCTTCGTAATTTGGATATCTTTTACTTTTTCTTGTGTATGTGCCCTAGTTAGGATTTCTAATACTTGGCTGAATATAAGTGGTGAGCATAGATGTCTGTGTCTTGTTCTTAGTGTTAGAGGAAAAGCTCTCAGCTTTTCACCATTGAGTATTATGTAAGCTATGGATTTGCTATATACAGCCTTTGTTATGTTAAGCTATGTTCCCTCCATAACAACTTTGTTGTCAGTTTTTTATCATAAGTTGATGTTAAATTTTGTTAAATGCTTTTTTTGTACCTATCAAGGTGATGGTACTGCTTTTATTCTTCAGTTTGTTAACGTAGTATATCACATCGATTGATTTGTGGATGTTGAACCATTCTTGCATCCTTGGAATAAATACTATTACTCATAGTCTATACATTTTTTAATGTACTGCTGAATTTCATTTGCTAATATTTTGTTGAGGATTTTTTCATCTATTTTCATCCAGGGATATTGGCCTGTAATTTTCTTTTATTGTGGCATCCTTGTCTTGTTTTGATATAAGTGTAATGCTGGGCTCACAAAATGTTTGGAAGAATTCTCCCCTCTTCTATTTTTTTGGAAGAGTTTGAGAAGAATTGGTAATAATTCTTATTGACTATTTGGTAGAATTCAGTGAAGCAGCCTAGCTCTGGACTTAACATTTCTTGGGAGGTTTTTGATCACTAATTCAATGTCCTAATAATCAATATCTTCGTATTTCTTATTTCATCATGATTCAGTCTTTGTAAGTTGTATGTTTTTAGGAATTTACCTGTTTTTTCTAGGTTGTCTAATTTGTTGCCATACAGTTGTTTGTAGTAGTCTCTTAGATTCTTTTTTATCTCTGTGATGTGAGTTATAACATCTCTTCCATTTCTGATTTGATTTGGGTTCTTTTTTTTCTTGCTGAGTCTAAATAATGGCTTGTCAATTTTGTTTATCTTTTCAAAGAACCATCTCTTAGCTTCATTTATCTTTTCTACTGTCTTTTTAGGCTATATTTCACTTATTTTGCCTTTAATCTTTATTCCTTCCCTTCTACTAACTTCGTGCTTCATTTTCTTCTTTATCTAGTTCCTTCATGTGTACAGTTAGGTTGTTAAAAATGAAAATTCTTGAGTCTTACTTCAGACTTACCCAGAATCTCATAGGGGTGGGGCCTAATAGTCTCTCTTGTCACAAGCTTTCTAGTGTGTCTGATACAAAATAAAGTTGGAGTGTCACAGGCCTAAACATTAATTGGTTTTCCTAGATTCAGATGAATGTATAATAATGTAGAAAATCCTGTAGCAAATAACAAAAATAACATTTTTAGAAATCTATACTTCATTTCATTTACAAAGGTTTCCTCTAAACTACTGCTTAGGTTTGTTTGTTTATTTATTTCTGGTGTGGAGAACAGATTTTTTAAAATGTTATTGTTTATTCTACTATAGTTGTCCCAATTTTTTCCCTTTTGCTCCCCTCCATCCAGCCCACCCCCCCACTGCCAATCCCCTCTTTGTTTAAATCATTGAAATAAAACCTCATTAATTTGAACTAATGACTCAGAATTGGTCAAGAGTTCTTAGTTATAGAATTCTGAACAAGATAAATGTACTTTTGAAATGTTTATTTTCTATCATACGTATATATGTAAATTTTCATAAAGGTACAGGTGAAATTTTATGCATCTGTGTGTGAAATTTTATCCCTTTTTGGTCTTCACTGCCACTTCCTTTCCTTTTCATTATCATCATTCTTACCTACCTGTAATCCATCTCAATAACCCTGGTCCACTTTTTCTCATGCTCATAGAGACACACATGCACACACACCTTTAGCTCGTTGTTTTCAATGGCTGCCTAAAAGTTCACAGAGTGAATGTACTATAGCATATTCAACTAACCTCTTGTTGAGGGGTTAGTTACTTTGCCTCCAGTTATTTCTATTGCACATAGACTTTTATTATGCACATGTTCTTTTTCCGTATGGGATAGATAGTTCCTACTGTTACCACCACGTTATAATATTTTATATTCCCACCAGTTATGTATGAAAGAACATTTGTTTATTGCATTATTTTGTCAATTTATGAGAATTTTTAAACTATTGTTTAAAGATTTTATTAATTTTATTTTTAGACAGAGGGGAAGGGAGAGAGAAACATCAATGTGTAGCTGCCTCTCACATGCCCCCTTCTGGGGACTTGGCCTTGCAATCCAGGCATGTGCCCTCCCTGGGAATTGAACCAGCAACCCTTTGCTTCACAGGCAGACACTCAATCCTGAGGCACATCAGCCTTTTAAACTATTTATAGATGTTTAAATTGTGACCATCATTTACATTATAGCATTTCCCTCTAAATATATTTCTTATCATTTGACTTTGTATACAATATCTTTTGACATAAAAATCAAACATTTCTGTATTAAGAAGTGGTTTCTGTATTTCCATTCTAATCATATTTGTAGTCTCCTGACTTTTCTGAGAAGGTTTTTGTTGTTCTGTTGTTTTCCATTTAAATCTTCATGCATGTGACACTTGTTTTTCTGTGGAGTTTAATATGAGAATTCACTTTTATTTTCTTCCAAAAGGATAGCCAATTGATCTAGCATCGTTGATTAAAAGACTTTTTTCCTCCCTCACTGAGCTGAACATTGGTCAGTTATTAGAATCTCAGTCAAGTATGAGAATCTCATATATCCTGAGATAACTTTCTGTATTATATATTCTGTTCTCCTGATCTATTTGTTGATTTCTATACCAAAGGCTTATTACTGTGGGTGTATGCATTGTTCTGGTGTCAATATAAGCACTCCCTTAGTGTTCTTCTTTTATATCCTTGGCCATTCTCAGGCAAATATACCTCTGTATGTACTCCAAAATCATTTTACCCATTCTTCCCGCCCACCCAAGGAAAATTCCACTGGATTCTAAGTTAAGTAACATTAAATATATGGAGTTAACTTTTTATGATATAATTTTGTTCAAGAACATGGTATGCTTTTCTACCTGATTTTTGTTTTAGGTTTTCAAATATGATTTTATCAATTTCTCTATATAATTTATTTCTCATACATTGTTTTTCTTTCAGTTGCCTTTTCTTTGTTTTGTTGGTTTGATCAAGTTAGTTTTCATGCCCTTTCCCCCACTATTAATTTTTTCTTATAGTTTTCCATTTTATTTCCTATTCCTGCTTCCCTAGTTATAAGACAGAAATTTGTTTCATTGTATTTGACAATAAGAGACCAATCAGGTAGACTTGTTGGTAGTTTATGGATCTGTAAGAAGACCTTCCTGTAAACCACACATGCACACACCATATGCTCCTAATTCGTCTATTCAAGGGCACAGCACCTAAGAGAAGCAGAGGACCACACAGAATTGGAAATTGGGAGTGGGTCAGTAGTATATCTTCACATGGTTTCTGCAGGGCCTCTTGGTTCCTTAAGTAAGCATGTATGCCTTCCTGTTATCCTACTGGGGCTGGGAAAGCACCCAAATCCTTGTTGTGCTATAAAGTTATTATACTTTTGGTTTTTTCACCACTGCAGAAGTATTTAGGTAAAAAAATCAGTGCACTTTGAGAGGGAGTGTTGCTTATAAACACTGACTTGGTTCTCCTGATTTTTAAACCATTTGTGGAGGCCAGACCTCTGTGCCTGAATCGTACTCTGCAGTGAATTGGGAAGAGCTCAGTGGAGCAGCACAGAAGCAGACTGTGAGCAGGTGTCGAATCCTGAGAGGTAAACGTAGGGCTGTATGGTCTACTGAACTGGTCCTGAGTAGGGGGAGCCGGAGGAATGAGATACTCCCCAAACCTCTAATTTAGGCTAGGGGAACAAGGAAGGAGGTTAAATTTGAGCATGAATGGATATAAAGAGAAGTACCAGAGTCTATAGTAGTTGAGACTTGAGAAGGTAGCATGTTATGGAGCAAAGGCTGTGGTGACAGACTGCTTGTGCTTGAATCCCTGTGAAATGTGGGCAGTTCAGTTAATAATCTTGTCTTAGCTAGATTCACTAGAAGTAGAGCCCAAGAAAGGGTTTCTTGGGTAAGTGATTTACTGTGGAAGTTGTTTCAGGAGAAACCTATAAGAGGGTGAGGAAAATACGTTGCTTTTAGAAGTTTGGCCTTGGCCTCAGCCTGATCCTGAAGAGGTTTCTGGAGCATGAATTGTACCACAGAAATTGTTCAGCCCAGGGTAGGGGGCTGCTCTAATTGCAAAGCAGTCAGCTACTGGGAGGTGGGGTATCACCTCCCAAGAATCTCCACATGACTTAAGCCAAGCTTAATCTTCCTGAGCTGGCAGCAGTTGCAGGAGTGGACATACTCCTGGTTGGAAAGGAGATCTGGTGTGTCACCACCAATGGCATCTGTTACACCCTCTGAACCTTAACATTCCTCATTTGTTAAGCAAGGGTGGTGACAATAGCACTTACCTTGTAGGACTGTAGTGCAAGAATGTGTGTAAAGCACGAGTGGTAACTTTTGGGGACTGAAGCTGGGAAGATCCCGGGTGGTTACAGAGACAAGTGTTATCTGAGGACTTGTTTTCATTCATCAGTATTGTCTGGTACCTGAGTGACTGTGCTAGCTTGAAACTAAAGGGTTGATAGGATCCTTGGCCTGGAGGTTTAGAGCGGAGTATGTTGTTTCCCATTGCTGCTATATAGCAAGTCGCCGAAAACTTAGTGACTGGAAATGATACAAATTTATTATTGTATAGTTCTGTATGTTTGACTCGGGTCTGAGTAGGCCTTGGCGTCACCAAGGCCGCTTCCTTTTCTAGCTACTCTCCGGAAAGATCTGTTTCTTTCCCTTTTCCAGCTTTTAGAGGCCACCCACATTCCTTGGCTCATGGCCTTTTCCATCTTCAAAGCCAGCAATGACAGGCTGAGCCTTTTCGCATTGCAACACTGAGACCCTCGCTCTCCTGACTTCCTCTTTCTCTGTTGAAAAGGGCCCTTGTAATTACACTGGACCTGCTTGGACAATGCAGGCTAATGTCTTCATCCTAACCTTAATCATATCTCAGAAGTTTCTTTGGCCACATCAGGTAACATTTGCACACGTTCCAGGGATTAGGACATACACATCTTTTGGCAGGAGCACGATTCTGCCTCCTATGCAGGGATGGGCAAACTTTCTTTGTAAAGGGCCAGATAGTAAATAATTTGGGCTTTGGGGGCTGAAAGGTCTCTATTGCAGTTACTCAGTTTTTCCACAGTGGTGATAAAACAACTATAGACAACATGTACACGGATGGCATTGCCGTGTTACAGTAACACTTGAATTATGAATGCTGAAATTTGAACTGCATATAATTTTCACATGCCAGAAAATACTATGCTTCTTTTGATTCTCCTCCCTCCCCCAGTGATTGAAAAGTCCAAAATCTGGTCTTACTTTGCAGCCTGCACAAACACAGTGGCAGGTTGGATTTTGGATTTTGGGCTATATTGGTTTAAACTCTTTGTCCTAGCCTATTTAAGGGTCTAAGGAACAATCTTCAACTATTTGGAAGAATTTTTTCAGCATGCTTGGCTGGTTATCATGCATATTGCAAACCTCGATCTTGTGGTGTGTGCTACTTCCATTTGATATTTGTTCCCCATGAGAACTACCTTCCTTTTAATTTTTCATGGACATTGCTGAAGGTGAAATGGTGATGGTTGCTCCGGAACTCTGGTTTCCATGGGATGGTAAATTTTTGGAAACACAAGCGCACTGAAAATAATACTGCCATTATACAAGTTAATCAAATAATGTACTCTGTATATTGACACTTCTATTTTTCCCCATTAAACTAGAGTCACTCAGAATATTTTTAACATTTTATTGGAGCTGGCTAAATGGGTGAGAATAAAGATGTGGGGGAGAAAGAAACGTGTTGCATAATAAAATAGAAGTGATTCTATTCAGGAGCACCTTGCAGGAGTTTAGTTTCCTATCATAATACATTGTATTATACACACCTCTTATTTATGGAATGCAATTCTCTCTTTAAAACATGGCACTTTTTCTCGCTATCATATTTATGTCTCTTGCTGAATGATAGTGTTGACTGTGAAACAACTATTTTTTTGTTGTTGTTGTTAGGTGAAGGGGAAGAGGACCCTGGGAGAAAATATTGCTGACAATGGAGGTCTGCGGGAAGCTTTTAGGGTATGTACTGCAACATTTGCTGATTTAAAACACTGAGCTCTAAAACACCATATGGGTGCACCTCAATTTACATCATAGACACATTCTTGAGGGTTAAGATTTCTGTAAATTCTATGCATTTCTGTAATTAGTATTATATTTTGCCATTGACTGTATTATAGTCTGTTATATGAATAGAGCTACATTTCTACCTCTTATTTTGGGGACATAAAATCTCTTCCTAACAAATAATATTTGCTATTAAGAATCATGTATTTAAAATATAGTTTTCAGAAGATAACATTCATAATAATATCAAAGCATACTACAGAAATCTCTTCAGGGTGAGGTTTATGTGAGTTTTCCTTCCTTCTAATTTTTTCTTAAAATACCGGAGTTCTATATTATTACCAGAGGTTCTTATACAGCTGGCCAGGTAAGAGTCCATAATAATTTTTTCCATCATCCACTGGTTTGTGGTTAAACAACAAACATAAGGATGATAGGGAAAAATTTTCATAAAGCTAAATGCATTCAGTGTGAAGATGAAGGTTGTTATTCTGAGATTATATCCTTCTATTCTATTTAAAATATATTTATTTTACAAGCTAATGGTGATTGATGAGAGTATTCCCTCTTACCTGGCAAAATAAAAAAAAATTGGCAGTATGTTGACCCTCAAATTTGTTTCCACAGCCCTTGTCATTGTGTTGGATTTGTCTCTTCCCTGGTAGGAAGAGAAAGAACATCTTTTTGTGGGGAAGGGTTGTTATTTAATAAGTGAACACTTTGGCCCTACTGCTTTGGTATTTATTCAATGTAAAGTCTTTTTGCAGGTGAACCTACTTCCCTGTTAAGCAGTACAATATTGAAATGCATCTCTAGGCTTGTTTTCTTTTTTAAAAAAGATTTTATTTATTTATTTTAGAGAGGGGAAGGGCAGGAGAAAGAGAAGGAGAGAAATATCAGTGTGTGGTTGCTTCTCACATGCCCCCCCCCCCCACTGGGGACCTGGCCCACAAACCAGGTGTGTGCCCTGACTGGGAATTGAACTGGCAACCCTTTGCTTTGTAGGCTAGCACTCAATCCACTGAGCCACACCAGCCAGGGCTAGGTTTATTGTCTTAATGGAAACCCTGACAAGGTGCATTTAGCACATAGTAGAGGGCATATTTAATATCTCTGCACTGGATGGTAAAGGAGAAAAGCTATCATTGCAGAGGGTCACCTGTACTGCTTCTCTCATCAGGCTTACAGGAAATGGATAAATGACAAGAGGCAGGGAGTTGAGGAGCCTCTTCTACCAGGTATCACATTCACCAACAACCAGCTCTTCTTCCTGAGTTATGCTCATGTGAGTAGACCAAGGAAGGGGCATCAAAGATGTAATGTGGGACTTTGGCTTGCTTCTTTGATCAAAGGCTTGGAATAAAAGTTTAATGGCTAACTTTGATCTTGGTTGAAATTTTTATCTTGCTGCTTATTTTCAGGATAAATTTTATTTTCTTTTCTAAAAGATTTATTTATTTTTAGAGAGAGAGGAAGGGAAGGAGAGAGGGACAGAAATATCAATGTGTGGTTGCCTCTTGCACACCCCCTACTGGGGATCTGGTTGGCAACCCAGGCATGTGCCCTGACTGGGAATAGAACTGGCAACCCTTTGGTTCACAGGCCAGCATTCAATCCACTGAGCCACACTGGTCAAGGCAAATTTCATTTTCTTAATGTTCTATGAGACATCAGTTTTTAGCATATTGTACTTTATTTTTATTTATTTTTTAAAAGATTTTATTTATTTTTAGGGAGTGGGGAAGGGAGGGAGAAAGAGAGGGAAGGAAACATCAATGTGTGGTTGCCTCTCACGTGGCCCCGACTGGGGACCTGGCCTGCAACCCAGGCATGTGCCCTGACTGGGAACCAAACTAGCGACCCTTTGATTCACAGGCCAGTGCTCAATCCACTGAGCTACACCAGCCAGGGCCTAGCCTATTGTACTTTAATTGGACGCTTTTTTTTTTTTTACATTCAATACTATTTTGTATTAGTTTCAGGTCTACAGCATAGCGGTTAGACAGTCATGTACTTTACAAAGTGTTCCCATTGATATTTCCTGTACCCACCTGGCCCATACATAGTTATTACAATATTATTGACTGTCTTTCCTCTACTGTACTTTATATCCCCATGACTATTCTGTAACTACCAATTTGTACCTCTCAATTGCTTCTCCTTTTTCACCCAGTCCGCTAACTATGAGACATAATTAACTAATTGAATCAAGGTTTATTGGCATTTTTTATAAAGTGGCTTACCAGCCCTGTGGGAACTCACTTGATATTTGTGTAATACAGCCTGACTTCTAATGTTACTATTTGAAAGCATTTATAATAACCATTTCTAGTTATTCATCCATTGGCTTTCATGACCCCACGCTTTCCTGAATTTCTCCTCCTTTGCCTTGTCTGCTGACTATCTCACCACTCTCACCCTGTGGGGGAGCCATAGGCTGTGTTCCCAACTGTCAGATGAATAGCTGATGACCACTGCAGCTGGAAAAAACCAACGAAGGCAAGGAGAGTCACGTGACTCTTTTGTGAGTTCAATGGGCTCTCCAAACAGAGATGGATGACACGCACTGAATAAGGCGCAGTTCTGCATTGGCGAGTCTGGCTAATGAAGCAAGTGCCAGTTCTTTGTTATTAACTACGGCACTGGCTTATGTCACAAATTTGTAGTCCCCATTTTCAAAGTAGTCACGGATGGGCTGTGGCAGGTTTTGACACATGGATTCAAGTGGGCAAATGTGTCTCTCTATGCTCAAAACTCCACAAAAGTTTTCATCAGTACAACCTTTTGTTCCTCCTATTTTTCCTCGGTAAGTTCATACATTCCCATGTCTTCTTCACCCCACTCTGCCTAAATAATTCCCACTGTCTGGGGTGTTTTATTTCTTAAAGCTGACATGACAGCCCTGAATAAAATATTATTTATCCATTTAACATCAACGAAACTGGAGTCATGAACAAAGTGACTTCTGTTTAGTTTTCTCATTTCTCCTAAAACACCCCCAGTCTTTGGGTCTTCCTGGGTAGAAAACCTGGATTCTTAGGTCTTATTTCATTTATCTGTCCTTGTTTTTATGATGTGTGTTCCAAAAGCTAGATTTTTCATTCTTTTAAGTACTCTTCAGGTTCAGCCACTCTTTCTTTTCATTACCCTATTTTGTCATCTTTTGGCTAGGCCTTGAACTTTTCTGTTCTGGATTATTCCACCAGCCTCATGACATGATTTACTGACGTTAGTATCTTTTCACCACTGTCTGTGTTATTTGCCACTGAAATACCATCGCATCTTGTGCAGAGTTTTTTTGGTGAAACATCAAATCCCCCAGGTGACTCAGTCCCCCTACAGCCCAGATTTGGTGCCCTGTGACTTCTAGCTTTTTCCAAAACTAAAATGACCTTTGAAAGGGAAGAGATTTCAGACCATTGATAAGATTCAGGAAGATACGATGGGGCAACTGATGACAATTGGGAGAAATGTGTGAGGTCCCAAGGTGCCTACCTTGAAGGAGACTGAGGCGTCACTGTCCTATGTACAGTGTTTCTTGTATCTTGTAGCTTCTTCTGTGGCTAGCTACTTTCTGGACAGACTTCATATAGCTAAAAGAAGCACACACAGAGGCATAGTCAGAACTTTTGAGAGCAGGACTCGGCCAACCAGGGCCCATGGCCAAATATGACCTGCTGTCTATTTTTGTAAATACTGTTTTATTGCAAAATAACCAAAGCCTTTCTTTTACTTATTGCCTCTGGCTGGTTTTGTGCTACAGTGGCAGAGTTGAGTAGTTGAAACAGAGACCTTATGGTCTGCCAAGCCTAATTTATTTACTATATTTTGCTTTATAGAAAAAGTTTGCTGACCTCTATTCTAGAGTACACAGTACAAGGTCCACAGTACAAGGTTCTTACTTAGGTTCTTACTTACTCATAGTCTATCTTAGTTATGTCCTAGTTCCCAACATGTCTTTGTAGATGAAGTGAACTAACTGATAGCATAGCAACATTACAGTCATACTTTTGAAATGTCTCCAGATAAGGTTGCAAGCCATATCTGATGTATTTTAAACTAATGAGATGTGGGAAAAATAAAAAGCCATTTTATATCACTAATGAGAAATTTCTCTTAGGGCTTTTCCTACTGACAGAATGAGGGGATTTTCAGTCTTTTGTACATTGAATAAGTCTACTTACAGGAAGTAAAATTATATCTTCCCTCCTAAGAAGACACTAGGAAAACAGTAATAACCATAATGTGTTTATAGCAATCTTGGAAATGATAATATGAAGCAAAAACAATATTGAACAATAATGTAAGGATAGAAGGAAAAATAACATAAGAAAAAAATCAGGTAAAATTGAGTTCCAGAAACAACTTCATAGTAGCTGGTTTCTGAGGAAATTAAAGAATCACGTGACAAACATCTTCAAAGTTAAATTCAGAACCACTGTGACTGATGGTTTATCTTGATGAAAAGCCACAGCATCATATCGCCTTTCCTGCTTCCTGTATTCCTGCAGTGTCTGTGACCTGCCACCTTTTCCCCTCGGATATTCTTATCTTTCTGCTTCTTTCCATTCGCATTTCCACTTATTTAGTAGACAGTTGTTGGGAGCCTTCCTGGGGCCCATAAATAATCTTCTAACTAGTTTCTAATTCCCTTCTACTTCTGTATATCCCTGCCAGATAAATCTTTCTAAAATAGGATTTTTCTCATTTTCCTGCTCATAACAGTATTTAAATATAGTTTAAGCACTTGAGGCTGTTGCTCAGGGCTTCAGAAACCTGGCACCATCTCCCCGGGTCCCCTAGTGCTGCCCCTTATGCACCACAGTTTAGCCACACTGAATGTCTTTCTGTTTCTTCCCCTCTCAAATATGCCTTTGCTTCCATTCTCCTCCACTTTGAATTGCCTCCCCATCATATTCATGCATCCTAGTTCTTTTCATACTTCAAGACTATGTCATATTTGAAGACCTACCTGGAGTCAGGCTTAAGTAGCTTGTGGTGCAGAGACAAAACAAGGGAAGTGTATTTCTTGTTTATGTCCTTTTGTTCAACATGGGTCAGTACTGGGTTTCTGCTCATAGTTATTACTCAGGGACCTGGGTTGTGGAGTCTTTATCCTGACATGGGCTTCCATGGTCGCCCCAGGAGTACCAAAGGAATATGAGGAAATGTACAGTGGCCCTTAATGGAGCATTTTAAATTGTTCTGAAGGCTCTTAAAACTTCTGCCACTTTTTAAAAACTTCTCCAGGAAGTGACATATATCCCTTCTCACATTTCACTGGTTAGCACAAGCCATACAGCCATGCATAACTGCACAGGAGATGGAGAAGGGTTCTCCTATCCAAGGGCTGCTCTAGGGTGAGGCAAGCAAGGCCCCCAGGGTGCAAAATGCTGACTTCTCATGACCATACTCGATATAATGGGCACTTGATTCATTTTCCTGATTCAAATGAATGTAGTTACATTTGATAAGGGCTACTGCAAGCATTATATTAATTAAATGAATACATTGGTTGATTCCTGGGTACATATACTATTGATTGATTCCTGGGTACTATTCTCTTGATTAATTGCATTTGTCTGGAAACCTTCCTAATTTACTCAAGTTGTGGAATTATTTACAGTAATAAAAACTTCTACTCTGGGGATTAGAATAATAGATGTTACTACTGGTGAAGGTTTTATCTGATCTCCTAAAACTGTCATCCATCAAGTCTAAAATTACTCTTCAGTATAATTTGGAGCAGTTAAACCAGTAGAAAATGCATAATTGGAATGGAAATGTAATTACCAGGATGCTTTTCTCTTCTAGGTAAGGTGCAATTCCTACAGACCAGAAGCTGCCCGAGAACAAGTTCAAATTGGTGCTCACAGTCCACCTGAGTTTAGGTAAAAGGGCAAATGGATGATACTGGTTTTTCACTGTGTTTCTTCTCTTTTCTTCCCCTATGTCGCCATTCTAGTACTGGACCAAATAGGTGATGTGAACAAAAGCCTGTATTGTGAACAGTGATATCTCCATTTTGCAGACCCCAAAAAAGAAACCCTGGCCAAACAGACACTTAGCATCTTTTCTTTCAGTGGGAAGCTGGTTTAGTCAGCATTCTCTCAAATAAATTCCTGTAGTGGGCATTTGTACACACCTAATCTAGTAATGTATCAAGAGATCCATGAAATTGTACACTACTCCAAAGGTAATTTAGGATCCAGATCATAGTTTTATTATTAATTCCTGTTTATTATCTTTCAATTTTTGAAAGGAAGCAATCCATGACTCCATGAGCACCATGGATGCTTAGTAAACTGGAGTATTCAATTTATGTAACCACCTACCTTTTTTGTATTCAAAAAAGTTTCATTTCTTAGACAAGGATGCTGTACCTTTTTTAAAAAAGATTTTATTAATTTACATTTAGAGAGGAAAAGGGAGGGAGAAAGAGAGAGAAACACCAACATGTGGTTGCTTCTCACACACCCCCTACGGGGGACCTGGCCCGCAACCCAGGCATGTACCCTGACTGGGAATCGAACTGGCGACCCTTTGCTTCACAGGCTGGCACTCAGTCCACTGAGCCATGCTGGCTAGGGCTGTACTGCATCTTAAAACACTCAGAGCTCAGGTTTATTTTGTGTTATGGAATACTCTGTTTAATGCATCTTGTTCTTTCATGCAGCCAGCCAACAAACATAAATGAGTAGCCCTGCATAGCCCTGAACACAAAGGGGGCTTATGGTCATATTTAGCTATTATAATACACACCCAGTCAAAAGCTGTGCATTTGGCTTTTAGTTGGTGTCTTATTTTGAAACAATTGCTTATATATGAAAGGGAAAGGATTATGAACAACAATCTTATATAATTGTCAGAATGTATAAAATATTAGGTAAAAATAAAATTGAGGTTAATATTACTTACCCTGTGCTACATTTCCAGCGTAGATTGAGGGAAATTTTCTGTAGTAGGGGACAGAAAATTATAATAGGAAATTCAAAAAACCATAATAATTTGTATTTATTCACTCTTTGCTTAGAACATATTATACCTGGATATTTTTATATTTAATGTTTAAATGAATCCATTAACATATTTCAGGAAAGTCACCTAAAATTTCTCCTGTATTTAAAAGTCTTATTCCTAAAACCTTGCTTTAGAAATGTTTCAGAAATTGACTATAAATTACCCAATAGCATAAAATCTAATCACTGTGTTAGAAATTCTCCCCCACTGGGTCAAACTGTCAAGAATGCTGTCAGTCTCTAATGGACTAAAATGTGCTCCTACTGACAAATAGTGCAGATGAAGCCACACAGTAGATTAATTACTCAACAGATAAGTTCTAGAAACTATTTCCTTTTATTAACTAGTTCCCTGTAATGTTGGCTTTTAGCTGATCATTGGCAAAGCGTACTTACTAATTATTAGCTAAATCCTATTTGTAACATTTGCCCAGGGTGAATCACATCATGAAATATACATCGCCACTTAAACATTCCAGCTAACACACAAGAGATTATGGGGATTTTCTTTTTTGGATATTGGCCATTATATTCACTCAAATGCTCATAGGTAAAGAAGTCAGTAGGGAATAAATAGTGACTGAGAATGCTGACTCTAGTCAGCCCTTGGAGCATGCAGTTGAGTAAGAAATGGATAAAGGGGGAGCTTTTTGCTGGTTTGCCAGTGATGTTTGCAGTAACTATAGATTTTGAGTGCAGCAGAAATCACACAATGGAAATACAATCAGAGTGCTGAGTAGGAATCTGCACTCTTTACTGCAGTTGGGGGAATTTGCAAAACCCCAGATTTTGAAGTAAACTCCAGTTAACTCATCAATAACAACTAGACACCATTTGTTGGCTTATTGTTACATGAACCAAATTCTAGAGAAATATGAGCCTTCAAACAGAATAGAAATTTAGAGAAAGTATTGTGTAGAATGAATGAGTTCTTTGAAGATAATGATACAGTTATAATGTTGAGTAAAAGAAGTCAGAGACAAAAGAGTGCCTACTCTGTAATTCTATTCGTGTGAAATTCAAAAACAGGCAAAACTAATCTTTGGCAACAGAGGTCAGACTAGTAGATATCCTTGGATGTATTACTGGTGGGGCTCACCTTCTAGGTGCTGGAAATATCTCATGCTTTGATCTGGGTGGTAGTAACATGGGTATGTTACATACATGCAAAAAATCTGTGAGCTTTACGTTTAAGACATGTATACTTTATATCAGTTGTACCTTCCATAAAAAGATAAATTAAAAAAATGGAAAAGCTAAGTATTGATAAATCCCACAGTTGATAAGAATTAATAAAGTTATAGGCATATACAGTCCCATGCTCAGTATACAGGAATTGTACATTTTACAGTTCATAGGAAGTTGAAAATATATAGAAGCTTAGTAAGAGTGTTTGCCTGGCATTCAGGAGGTGCTGGTTCTAGCATCAGCTCTGTTAATTTTTTTGGAAGTTTACTTAACCATTTTGGGCTCTAGTTGCCTCCCCTGAAAAGAAATTAAATGAATGCAACATCCCTTCAAGCAATACGCTGCTCCAGTTCTCTCCAAAATCCATTAATATGTAAGAATTAAATGACATGGGCTTTGACATATCTTTTTCAGGGTCAATGGTGCAATTAGCAACTTTGAAGAATTCCAGAAAGCTTTTAACTGTCCCTCCAATTCCACGATGAACAGAGGCGTGGACTCTTGCCGACTCTGGTAGCTGGACTGCTGGTTCGTGCCATCCCGAGAGAGCTGTACAGTGCCAGCAGAGGCCGCACTGGGCATGTAACGCCTGCTTCCTTTAGGCCTATATTCCCCGGAGGACTTTTATTTTTAATGCATCTTCATTATTTTGGTGCTGCTTGGATTTAAACAGTATCTTTGTAAAGTTGTAAGGCTTAAAAAAGTGAAATACAAGAAGTGAACGAAGTATATTTCTTTAGAAAACCAACCCGACAAAAATAAATCCCTGGGATATTTAGTTTTGTTAAAACGCTATCTGCTAAATTGTTGTCATTGACCATTTTAGTGCGTAAGCCAAAGCTAAATGGTACATAGCATTTTAATGTATAGCTTTGCAGGGTCCTAAGTAGAATGTACCCAGAAAAATTTCAGTCTATTAACTGTTAACCCTCAATGATGAGGACATGTGCGTGGATACCTGTGAGGCCTTCCTGTTCTGTGAAACGCGGTACTAGATTTTATGTATTGTTGCTATACAGCATTTATTAAATCTAAGGCAGTTAAATTTGAAATATGTTGTATCTTCATTTTACAAATTTTTTATTGAAGTTTTTGCCTTTAGCTTTAGATTCTATTGGGATGAAAATGGCCTCACGGCTTATATCTAATGTAGCCAATTGTCCTATTCAAATAAGCTTGAACAAAGCCAAGATTAAGACGACTTGGTAAAGGACTTGAGTTTATCAAACAGAAAAAAAAAAAAAGAAAGGATACATCTACAAGTCCTAGAAGAAGTCAAAACTCTTAGTCATGTAACAGCATGGACACCAGGATATGAAATGTACAAAATTTGATGTCATCTGCCCGAACCTCAGTGATTACATCTGTCTGCCAGACATGTTTCTTTAGCCCGATTTCTGTTTTTCTTGTTACCCTCCTATATGTGCATTTTCCTGTTTCTAAAACTAGTAGGCACCAAGCAAATGGTTTTCTGATTTCCCGTTTGGCACAACAGGTTTCATTCCATTTTAGTGCAAAGGGCCAGGCCACACTGAGGAGGACACGAAGTGCCCTGCTGTTTGGGCACAGTTAATGTTCCTTCTCTTTTAAAAAAAGCTTTTTGAAAATTTGTTTGATTGAAGACATTTTAGAATCTATTGATTAAATGTCAAATTCTCTACATAGTTCAAAGGAACAATTTTTACTCTTCCAGTCTGCTTCTAAAGAGACTGTAAGAAAGAGCAGTACCATGGTTTTGATCTGCAGAGCTTCATCCTTTCAAGTGAACTCCTCCAACTCTTACTAGTGGGTGTATGTGCGTGTGCACATTCGGGCAGGATACGATCAAAATGGCCTTAAAGTGGTTACCTGGCATTTCCGGTTTCTTATAATAGCCAAGCCCCTTTATATTATTCATTGTGTATGTGGTTCTGGATTAAGTGGGCCAATAGGCAAATGTCAAAAGCAAAATGACAAATTCTGACTAACCATAGGAAGTCATTTTGCATCCCTGTGATTTGTCATCCTTTTTTTTTTAAATATGTTTGTGCCACATCCTTTTGTAACCATGGGAACTTCTAAAGGGAGAAAAATGCAGGGCACCATCGTGAGGAAAATGACTATACTGCGTTAGTCAAAGGAGAATGATTTTCCCTTGACTTCTTCCTCTCCAAATGGATAAACTTCTGAAAGGCAGCTATATTTTCCTCCTTTTAACCAGAGTTTAAGAATGACCTTAATTTGTAATTTTTTAAAACAAGCATTATTAGGTTAGGGGTTCTGGAAGCGTATATGCCTTTTCTCTGGAAAAATCATTCTCATGTGTTTTTAACACACAAGATACTCCTTGTTTTATTCCTGCATTCGGACATTGAAAATCAGCTGAGGTTTGTTATGCTTACATGCAAAGCACTTTCCTTCTAGATTTGTGTTTTTTTTAAACTCCAAATAAACCTATTCCTGCAAATCAGAGGAAGTGTTTGATGAAAGTGTAGAATTATGACTTTAAAAATGGGAATTGTTCAGTCACTTGTTGGTTTAGGAAAATTGGTTGGTGATCACTTGGGGCCCTCAAAGTTTCTAAATGATGAGGCTACCTTGTCATGATTAACTTTACCTGATATAATTCAGTTATACTTCCAGTTATAGAAAAGGTGGCCATTATTAAAACAAAGTGAAACCAAAGCATTAATAAAAAACCACGACTAGCTAGAACAATTTTACTAGTAGGATTGTGCTAATGTATGCTCATGTTGAAGTTTTCAGATTATACTCTTATCCCTTTTCTTTAATACAGATTGCTAAAAGAAGCAGATACTGATTAAGTGGTAGAGCGAAGAAGGCAAAACGCAACCAGACAGGAAGGAAAGAAGTAGGGAGAAGCTGGCCTCAGAATGTGATTCTGAAGAGAAGACAAGATTTTGGCAGTCCTTGCTAAGCACATCCACTGGAGGAGAGCCATAAAGTTTTACAAAAATAATTATGGTAAATTAAAAGGAAATTAGACATTGGATCTCAGGCTAGGACTGTCATACCACACATCTCTGATTCATATACCAGATGTTCTGCCAGTGAACTCTTATCTGGGCATTGGAAAGCATTAGCTTTTTGTAAAATTCTCCTGGATTAGTCAAGGATTTTATGTACATAAAGTGGTATCGTTTGGACTTATCACTATTGCCCAAAGTTAGTTGAGCTTTTCACCACACAGCATTGGCCTCCAATTTCCATTTTTTCCTTTTATGAGATGGACTTGGACAGGATTAATGCAACTCAAGATTCATAAATTATCCTGAAGTTTATTCAGTTCCTTTCCTCAATGGAGCTTAAAGTGGAGCACATGAATTTTATCTTATTTAGCCCTGGAGCATTGCTAAGAAGTAGGAGCGATGGCTTGCCATACAGGTTATGCTCGTGCCAGAGGAATAGAGGGGTTTGAAATCACTTGTCAGGCATCCCAGAGCCAAGAAGATCAGAGTTTGTGTTGGGCTGCTGACCTTGGCATGAACCTTCATCCCTTAGATTATGTGTCTCTAAATACATTTATTCCATCAGTATTTCTATAATCTCAGAATTTGATAAGCTTCTTCCTTGGTATTTTTAGCATAATATCTCAGTTACATATTAAATTATAGAAAAATATATGGTTATGTCATGCAGCAACGTTCTCATTGCCAGTGGTGGTGTCACCCTGGTTTAAAGAGAGGTGATCTTGTGTTATGCATTATACATCTGGAGGGTCATTGTATTTTCTTCCCCTGCTTGTGAAACAGTATGAACAATCACTTTAAGGACAATAAAAAGTTGAAAATTTTCTGTTCCTTTTTTAAGAAAAGTATTTATTAATTTTTTTAGAGAAAGAAAGAGAGGGAGAGGAACATCGATGTGAGGGAGAAACATCGATTGGTTGCTTCTCATATGTGCCCTGACCAGGGACCGAACACGCAACTGGGGATGAAACTACTGACTTTTCACTTGGTGGGATGACACCCAACCAACTGAGCCTCACTGGTCAGGCTCTGTTTCCTCTTATTTTAAAAAAATATTAAAATCTATTACATCTATTAAAATATTTACTTCTGTTGTAGACCATAAGATTTGCCCCAAAGTGTACAAACCACTGTACTAGACTAGGTTTCTTGGCTTGGGAAAGTGGGATTTGCATGCAGTAACTTTATCTGTAGACAATGAGAGATTTGTGATGCCATCATGGTATTCCATTCTAGGACATAAGTCAACAGATGTGGTTTCTCGCTTAAGCAATAATATTCCTATTGAAGAAGAAAGAGGGTTCTGAGAAGCTTATCACCCAGGATAGGGCTGGTCTTGCAACAGTGACAATGAACATCACAGCAGCAGTGTCAAACTCATTTTCACCAGGGACCACATCAGCCTTGCGGTTGCCTTCAAAGGGCCAAAATAATTTTAGGACTGTATACATGTAACTACTCCTTAACAGTTAAGGAGTTGAAATTACATTCAGCCCTTTGAAGGCAACTGCAAGGCTGATGTGGCCCCTGGTGAAAATGAGTTTGACACCCCTGTATTACAGTAACAAATCAAAGAATATCTATGTGGTGTCATTTTTTTAAAACAACCTAGTTAATTTATAGTCACTCATGTAGCACACAGTATCTGAGCACCCATTATGTGTATTTAAATCATATGATCTGGTAGGCAGATCATATGCAACCTTTGAGTGTCAATGAACAGTCAGGTCTAACATGGGAGGTAGATACAATCTGCCCTGTTACAATCACCCTACTTTGTGACAAGTATGATGATATATAAGGACATCAGGTTGTGGTTTGGTGCACCGAGAAGCTCCTCCATTGAACACTGTCGGTGCTCACTCTACCCAGATCCCAGCAAATCCCTTTTATTGGGTCCCTAACCTTACCTTCTGTGTGCTTTCCTTTTGCATTAGCCGTGGCTCTCTAGGATGGCTGCCTTCATGCATCCAGAGCCTCTCTGCCCTATGCACTTTCAGAGACCCGTAAGTACTGGGGAGTGTATATCGTCTGCCCACCTTCGGACATTGAGTTATTGGTACAGGACAATGAAACCTTGCCTGGGGCCACACAAATCCAGAGGTGTGCCATAGAGTTCATACTGACTTCTCTAGGGCGCATTTTGGTGTCAGGCTGGGAGTGTGAGTAAAGCCTGCTGTTGATTATTTTAAACATCTTTCTGGCATGTATATATGTTCAAAGATCTGGGAAAGTATGCGCTGGTTTGTAGAAGGCGTGTCATGGCATCCATGTACAGGAGATAGACATCAGATGGGACACAGAGTTGGTGGGTAGTAAGTAGCTGAGTATGGTCTATGAATGCCCTTCTTAGGGAGTTTTCTCTAGTTTCTGAGCTGATCCTTGAAGTAAGACTTTTTGTGTGTAGTGTAGTAGCAGAAAAGAAGATGCATGGAAATGACTGAGTTTATGAATGATCTCTGAGGCATGGACAGGAAGAAGGGGCTTTGGGGGAATAAAGGCAGGAAGTCTAGCATCTCTTTTGCTATGGTTTATGTGATAGACTTTATAGACCATACAGACCAAGAGGTATTGAGTCTGCTTTGATTTATATATAATTAAAATTGGAAGGAAGCTAATTTTTCCAATTAGGTTTAAGGTATTTGCATGTCCTTCAAGTTAAGCTGCTTTCTTTGAGATCACACTAGCTGTTAAAACAGATCATGTGAGTGGTTTAATGTAATTGAAGTTTATTTTCATTACATACAAAGTATGTATTAATAACCAGTTTCCTTTCATATTGCTATTTACCATTCTTCACGTGATTGAAGACATGCTCATCTCCAAGAAGCTGGTGAAGGAGAAGAGGCCATAGGAAATGCTGAATGGAAGGTTTGGTCAAATTCTAGAAGTTATCTACATCACTTCTGCTCATATTTCATTGACTAGAGCTCAGTCTTGTGGCTAAACCTACTGCAGGGGAGGCTGGGATGTATAGTCTAGCTGTGTTCCCAGAAAGAAGAGGAAATGGGTTTGGCTATCAGCCAGCAACCCCAGCTACACCTTGTAAAGTGAAATATGAAGCAAGAACTTTGAGCTCTTAAGGATTTAGGAAATTGCTTTTGAACACAGCACAATGAAAATGTAAAATGCAATTGGTAGCCCGCAGTTTATCCTGTAGGAGTCTTTTTAATTAACAGCTTAATTGGATAATTTAATCCCCTTTAGAATTAGAGATATAAAAATGAAAATAAGATACTCCCTGTGATCTGACAATACCGTAGTTTAATAAACACAGCAAAGTGAGCTCAGAAACGAATTCCATAGAAGCATTACCATAATTTGTGATCAGTGAAAGAAAGCCTGATCTATAATTTTAATTATTTCTAAATGGCTTAGATACATGTTTCATTTGAATGTGTATTTTGTTTTGTTAATTGTCTCAATTAGGAAGATAACTAAATATAAGATTCTGTGGCTATGCCATGGGTTTACAATAGGTTCTAAGCTTTTAAAAATACATCCCATTTACACAGTAAATAAATATTCTATGAAATCAAATATTGTGCTGTATCTTCTAGTATTCTTAGAGAATTTGTGCAAAATTTGGTTTTCTCCTTGATTATATGAAGTGAGAAATTTTACATATTTTGTTCTTATGCTTTCTCCACTTGAAATGGAAACTGAGGCTCAGGAGTCCAAGAAACAAAGTTAAGTGTCCATGTACAAGCCACAAAAGTACTGTTTGAATTAATACTGGCTTGAGACTCCACTTTACAGAGAAAGAAGAACTGAGTAAGTTCAAGTCCCCAACATAAAAGCTACCTAAACTGTTGAGTATCATTGATGCTGCCAGTTGGGCTGCAATGTCTGCAGATGTCTGCAAAAAGAAGTATAGTTTACAGTTTAGAAGTCTATTCTGTCAATTTTCAAACTGATTTAGAAGTCAGTGGAATCAGTCCCATGTGAATAGTCACACAATCCTCCCACTCCAGTGACATTTGATGAAGGAAAAAAAATAGCCCAGAGCAAGTTTTTCCAAAATTGGCCAGATTTTTAGTTAGCATTTGTAAATGATATTTTCCCTAATAATGATCATGATAAAAATGGCTTCCATTTCTTGACACCCACTGTGTCCTTGGCATTCTGCTAGGGTCTTGCATGCGTTATAGCTACTGCTCGCAGCAGTCTGGCAAATTCCTTGTTGCTCTAGAGGAATATTTGAATGACCGGCTAAGACCACATTAACTGGAGGAGCCAGGAATAAAGTCAACTTTGTCTTACTTCAAAGACCATTCTCTAATGCGCTATTGGGCAAATGGGACAATATTCACAAACCTGATTTTTACCTGTAACTTAGTGAAGATTTCAGGATATGTTCCACAGACAGAAGTCAGCATACAGGGCTTTGTACTTGGTGATATTATAGTTCCATCCTGACTCCTTCAGAAAGTTCTTCAGAACCTGTTCTTCACTGATGTTGCTACGTACCATTTTGTGACAATGTACCATGTGCCTGCCAGATATGCACTAAATGCTGTCTTTTTCAATTCCATCTAATTTAATCATTATAATAACTCCAATATTATCCTGCTATCTAGACTTGGAGAGTTCAGTGGCTTGCCTCTGAATATTTAGCTAGGAAGCAGCAGGGCCAGATTTGAATACATTTTTATCCAAGCACTCCCATAGGCAAATGTATACTTGTGATGACCCTAAGTCCTGGATTTCTTGGCTGGAATAACCCCCCCACCACCAGTTCAGTTGATTTACCGGTGTTCAGCCCTGTGATTGCCTGGGTTCTCTCTGTTTGGTCTGAAACCAGAATGTCTCTAGGTCACCTTCTCCAGAGAACAGCTACCCTTCCTGTAGGCAGCAGAGGATCTGTAAGTTCAGTTACAGAGTTTTAAGCAATTGCTCTGTTTTTAACCCTGCCATGCATACTGACATTCACTGTTATCTGGAGCTTCCAAGGCCTAAGGCCTTCCTGTACTCTACAGGGCACTTGAGCTTGCCTCTAGTAGGTGCCTGTTATTTTTGTCCATGCAGGGTTATGTCCTTAAAAATATTTTAGTATCTCTTTTCATTAGAAGAATGCTTCACCAAGATCTGAGTAACTGGAAGCCTGCATTTTGATTTCTAATGGAAATACTATATAACAAAAATTTATTTAGAAAGAAATGCTGCTATATAGTTCTATACTGAACTACTGCCTATACTTATCAGTATCTATTACTAAAGAGTCTAAAGCTTTCTTTAAACTGCTGAATATTGGGAGGGTTTTTTCTTTTTACACAAAAGTCAATCCTGTTTTTTCTTAGTTATTTTAATGAAACAAATGTACATAAACATTTGGTATTAATCCATTTCTCCTTAAGACATATAACTTAGTCTTTGGAGAATATGTTTCAGATGAAAGGAATGTATCTCTGTCCACTTTCCAGAGCTGCCTAGGGATACATCTAGGAGGATGCTGGAGTGGATTTGTCGTGAGTGCTCTGGAGGAAGTTACTTGTCAACAAGGGCCAAGTTCCATTCTCGGAGATACAAATTTCAAACCCTCACTTGCACACATACGTAGGCTCCTGTGCACATTGAGTTTGAGTTAATGCACATAGCTTGTTGGGAAGAAATCAATCAAAGGCCTTTTTAAGCTTAAATAGTCCTTTAGGAAGGGAAAGCTCAGTGCCTCAATTCTATTGTAAACATTGAATAAAAACCATTTTAAAGCATTCAGCATATTAAAGTACTCTACAAATGCCAGTAACAACGAACATACCCCTTCTCCCAAGTCTTAATGATAACTATGAAGTAATA